AAATTTTCCACGGTTCGTGATCCAATTAATTTTAAAAATCGCCATAACCAACCGAAGCCACACGAAAGGGCTTTATTGTTATGTAAATTTGTGCAAACTTCGTAGGCAGACGTAGGCATGACTAATTGTTAATTCGGCTAATGCGCTTACGAGAGCGGGACACCACAGTCCATCCCGTCGATGTAATAAGGGATTACGCGCCTGACCTCACAACACTCGTCTTCAGGGTGCCTTTGTGTGTACAGGCAGGGTTTGTTAAAAATACAATCCAATTTAACATCGTTATCTGTTCTAAAAAAACAGTAAAATAAACAAAACTTACAATATATATTATTAACTTTAGACATCACAGACTGTCTGCCAATCTACAAGTATAGTGCATTATTCAAATATGCTCACTTAGGATAATTACATACACAATAATTAAAATAAATATAATTTAAAAATGTACGTATTCTTTAAGTAATCTACTGCAAAATTTTAACAAATTACTGTAAATATGTGTAGCTCTGGAAATGCTTTGTGAGTACTGTTGAGTAGACTCAGCGTAAGAGTCAGGAGAGCATAACATACATAGGGATAAAATTTATAATCATCAGAAGGTACAGCTGACTGTAACGCTAAGAGTTACGAAAGTGTATTGAGAAATAGTGGAAGTAATAAGTGACGTGTGTGAGATATCTGAACAAAGTAAAAAAGTTTTTATTATAAAACAGTGGCGTTTTAAAGTCCAGCATTAAGAGTTATATTTATTTCTTCTCAAACATCCCCAATAGCATGCTTGCTAGTTTTTGGCATGCGTAATTATTTAATGGAGATGAAGTCCGCAATGGCACGCGACCTCTTGCGCCGTGAAATGAACATTACATGCAACAGTGAGCAAGACTTGTGATTTTACGCAAAATTCCAACCATATTTCCCCTACAAACTTATAGGAAGTGGGGATATTATTACTTATTGCAACAAATTTATATACATCATAATTTTCTAAATTAATAATTTATATGGCATCACAGCATCAGTCGAATTTAGAAATCTGTATTAATATTTTTTTTATAAACATACTTTAATTTGAATATTAGCCAAAAAAGTATGTGTAAATATCAAGTAAATGTAAGTCAAGCTGACTTTTACTCAATTATGGATAATATATAAGTTAGCCAACACAGGAATAAACTCTATAAACTATGTACCTACATATGTCGTGTCAGCACATTCAAATAAATACTGATACAGTGCGTACCAAGTAACAATAATAATCGAAATAGGATCATATATGAATTTCAGTTTAAAAATGAATCTGTATTATTGTAAACATGTACAACATTTATTTGAAAAGAATACGAGCTGAGTTTGTTGTCTGTTCTGAAATCATTTCGAATTGACGGTAGATTTGACTTATCATAAGATTCTGTAATAGACCTACATTACAATAAAGATATTTTGTTTTAAAATAACGAACCATTTAGAAATCTTCAAAGAGTTAGATTTGAACTTTTTTGCTTGATTAAAAATCAAAATTGGAATGATTTCCAAAGTATATGAATAAACTAACGAGTTAGTAGTAACTTTAGTAGCAAGATATCAGAGTACAGATTTTCATACAAACAAATTCCTTTTCTAGATCATTATCTGCAGATTCATTAAGTATAGGATAACATAATTGCTAGTTGTATACCTATATTTGGTTTTAGAAATTATATTTAATGTGAACTGTGAACTTCGAGTTGGCTTAAACTGTTAATTAATGAATCAATTGCTTGTAATCAGGAGGTAACAACACAGTCTACATAATTTACACCATGTTCGAAAACCAATAATTATAGAACAGATCCTGCATATATTTGCGTGGGTAGCTACTTATCACGAAATCTAAACCTTGACATAAACCGAAGGTCATGCCCCCTTCATCAGCTATTCATTACGACTAGTTCAATTTAGCGGTAAACATAGTAGTGTGTGACATTACCAATTCATACAAAATAACACATAACAATAGTAATCAGGCGTTTCGTTATGAAAGAAAAATCACATTTCGTTGGCAGGCGAGGCGGTGCCAAGCACAGATTTCGTCGGCAATGTATCGTGAAATTAGTTTAGTGGCACTATATAATTACGAGCCCTCACTTTTTATAGGCCCCCGGCTTGCTTTCGTAGTCGTCCGTCAGCCGTAGAGGGTGAACCGGCCCCACCCGCACCGCTGTTATGACGAAAATGTCAACCCGATATGCGACTTGATGAATTGACACTGCTTTAAAATATTTTATCCTCGCTTACATTTTGATAGCTCTATAACGTCAAACACTAACTTAATAAAACTACGGACATTCATGTTTGTCATGGTAGTTCCTGAGTCTTCGTTGTCTTCTTTATATGTATAATATATACATACAATATGTTATTATATGATATTGTAAAACAGAACATTCAATTATTTAATAATAATGGAAGATTTAAAGAAAGTTTAAAAAGTCAAATATAGAATTTATTGGTGATTGGTAAAATATGTAGAGTTGATGAGCACACGCTGCAACTGTTTTTAGTAATGACTAATTGATGCGTTATGATATTGCGACGATTATGATATGCCGACGGTTGTAATATTTGGGCGCCCGCGTCCGCAGCATTAATTTCAACCCTACAATTATCTTAATAATATTATAAACGTGAACGTTTGTGAATATCTATGAATCTTTATTACTCTTTCACGGGAAAAGTACTAGGCAGATTTTAATGAAATTTCACAGTAACATAGCTTATGCATCAGAATAACATATAGATTATAAACTTCATGACGGCGAAACCGCGGGCACAGCTAGTATATTATAATAATTTATTGTAAAATAATGTCTGAGCAAATTGGGTCTGTTAATATGTTTGTGTTAAAGGTTTTACGTAAAATGGCTGGAGGAATGAGGATGAAATTTCTGAATGTTGTTAAATATGTGTCAACATATAGGCTGTAGCAATCAGAGAATAAATCCTTCAAAGAAATAATTGTGTAGATACCTAATAATTCTGTAGAACACAGAAGGTATCTACAAAATTATTTTATTCCTTTTATTCCTTTCATATCAACGAAAATCCGACCGACTAGGCATCATGACGAATAATTACTCAGAACACTGAGTAATTATTCGTCATGATGCCTATGGCTACCTTTTCCCATCGCACCGCTCGCCATCGACAGGGAATATCCCCATACGTTGAATCTAAGTGGTTTCGAACAGTGCGGATTCAGAGGAGCTTTGTAGCACCCCTGTTGTCTCAGGCATTGGCTTACCACCATCGTAGCATAAAAAAATATTACGCTACCTACTATTTTATGAATTTGTGTATAACTAAAATAATAGATGCTGTCATAGAAATGATTCATTTATTGTTTTCACGCAAGACCGAACATGCGTTTAAGTTGTGGGTACCACTAGTTCAAATAAAACACCAACAAAGTGAAAGATACATTTCATAGATTTATTATATAAAATCTTACCGCTACATTTGAATGTAACTTATTACAGTACAGTAACATGTGAAATTTACAGAGCTATTCGATTAGTACAGATAATAGTAATAAGTTATATAATTATTGCGCAAGATCATCCCGAGATCAGGGAAGTCCTTAAAATTAATAGTTACTAAAATACTTAAGTAACACATCTTAGGTTATCATACTATAATAAAGGTCGAAGCTCAGATATTTCTTTTGATTGTATATCTATGTCGATTTATAATATTTACACAATGATATGAACGAAGTCCAAAAATATAAGTACCTATTATTACAAAATGAAATCTCTTTCTCGAAGCACCTATTAGACATGTAATTATTTACTACGGGTGAGCATTTATTACAAAAAGATAATATAAATATAAAAGCTTATAGTATACATTGATTATTAAAATTTGGAGTTTTGAGCTACTGCATATTCAAAGTCTGAATTAGCCGGCTGCTTATTATAAGACTTTTCATATCATACTTAAAAAAAAAAATCCTCGCTAACACTGTTTTTATACGTTTGTTATAACGTTGTATAATGTTTTTATACAGTCTATAATTTAATGTATATACATTACATTATAGAAATTTAAAATATGTCTTAATTGGGAAGGTAATTGATTTTTAGTTATCGTGCATATTATTCACATGATATGTCATTAAATGCCTTTCGTTCAATATTTCATCAGTATAATAGTGATTATATTAATTAGAATTATCTAGACATTGTCTTATAATATGCAGCCGCATTAAACTAGTTCTAAAAGAGAATTAAGTACTTTTTTATTTTCTTGTAGGCCATATTCTTATAGGCCCTTTATAGAACAAAATAAAAGATGGAATAGAATTAAATTAATAATGCTTATTAATAATAAATAATACAATATTATCAGCGTAGAATAAAATTAATTCTATAGCAATAATATATTGCCATTTCTAATAAATCTATGCAAAATTAATGTACTTTTAATAATATAATACCTTTTATACTTCATAGATTGATAATGTAAATAGAATGAATTGTTGTTGATTAATGTAATATATACAGGTTTTAGGTACAAGAGTATGATATGGAATCGAATTACAAATTGGATTAACTAGGTATTAGTAATATATGAAAATTGTTATTGTAACTAAATAATAGAAAAAGGACAATTTTTCTTCTTAAAATATCTAAAATGTGATCTACATTCTATTATTAACAAGCTTTTCATGCATTTTGATGATACATCGGATAAATGGTATATTAAATAAATATTCGTAGGATAACAAAAAGTTATATGTAATAATATCAATATTAGGAAATTGAAATTATATACAGATAATATCGAGATAGAAAAATGTCAAGATGGAACACTTGGTACAGTAAAAGTTAAGGTGCAAATTCATATCTAAAATGATAATATGTACACACACACACAGATTTACATACAGAATTATGTCCATTCAGAAAAAATATTAATTTTAACCAAACCTAACCAAAGGTTTTTTAAAAGTGAATGACTTTCTTAACTGTTTTTGACTGTTGCTATTATTGCTCCTAGTGTTCCCACTTGACTCTTGTCTTGCTCTAATATAAACATAATATTTCTGACGTCAATTAGAAAGGCAATAGCTGTAATTCTTTCCATAGAGATAAGACGATGAAATTAAAAGCATTGTTATTATTGCTATATGGTAAATTTTGTTCTAAATTCCGGCTTATCTAGCAATCGCACGAATTTTAAATAGTAGGTGCATTACATACTACATATAAAAAAATCGAAATAACCTATAATTTTGTTACGTTACATTTCCAAAAAGTATATTTCCTAAACGAATTTCTTATATATCACAGGCTTAAATAATATTCATTACTATTAGGGACGTGCATCCTATACGTACACTTATATTAGTAGATACAGTTGAACAAAATTAGGTAACTATTTACACAAATAGGGGAAAAATAATGAGGCAAACCCTCCCACAACCCTCGGAGATTTCAAATTACGACCGCGGTATGGCTACACGGCAATGCGTATCTTTGTACTCCACTCATTAGTACGAGAGTACAATACAATACCATTTAATTATTATTAAATAACAAACAAATATTATGTTGCACAGACTACATGTTCAAACTGGTAAGTAATAAATAATGTGAGATGTTATAAACAATCGACTTCTTTCTTGAAATAATATATACATATGAAAATACAATGTAATTCAACTTCCTTCTTTATGAAATTAGTTAATAACACCTAATGGCAACAAAATATTAATATTAGTAAATATTTTTTTAACGGGTTATATTTATTCATGTTCATATAAATCATGCGTACGTAAAGTAAATTAATTTGAGTATTATGGAATAAATTAAACTTCTATTAAATGCAAAGGACAAGCAACAGTACTTGTCATGACAAATTCGTAGAATAAATCAATGCATAAAGAATGCGATAATTTCATAAAACGTTTACATTCCATGAAATATTAAACTATTACTGTTGTTCTGTATTTGTATTATCAATGTTTGCGTATAACATTACGGTGTCTATACAAATGTAAACATGAAAAATTAAAAAAACCAATAATATTATTACTAATTACTTTTAAGGTAACAATCGGCATTTTTTCTACGATTTGGTCACGACGATGTATCGAAATCAACTATTTATATGACACGATTTGACACTCGGTCGGTCGGGTCGATGTTAGGCAAAATTGACACCGGTATGTCGGTACTACAACCCCACTAACCACAATAAAAAAACTCAAGCGTCAATATGTCAGAATCCGTCAGACAGGACCGACCGATCGGGTACAACCAATTAAAATTGTGCCAGGAGCACACACAATACATTACCATTTCATTTCGATATCAAAAATTCCATTCAATAATCCTAACAATTTCTCTATACCTTATACCAACAAACAAAGCGTACTTACAATTTCAAAATCACTTTTCCTAAAATCTTTTTACATTCCATATCCAACAAAGCAACGCACAACGCTCGTATTTTACTCTATAGTTAAATTTTAATAATATGTCCATAAAAATTTTGAGTGTCTAATATAATCACCAACTCATGTTCCCAGTGTGGTTGGAACAATGCATAGTCTGTTTTCACTGCACTTTCTTAATGTCTTTACAAAATCTAGGGCTTTCACACTTGCTTAGGTAGGTCTAGACTTCAGCTCAACACACTTTGTTCGTTAGCCGCCGAAGTCTCTTAGATCACTAGCATTTTGTAGCGGATGCTTGCTGACGGAATTTATTATGAGAATATGTTGAAATACTTGAGACCGGCCGACACGTAAGGTATCGGTATTGCACCAGCGTAATAGTTAACCGACTGAAACATGAGGTAGGCGATGTTTAGAAGCTATCACACTATTTCGTTCGGATGCGAATTCTGATTTGAGTCGTTCTGTCTTGCACACTGCTGTAAAAAAGAAAATTTATTTCAATATTTATTATAAAAATTATTTAAAATTACGCACATCCGTTTACTATATGCAATTGTCACCTCTTGTTTCCTCTCCCAAGTTTTCATCGCGTTTTTATATTTTTCAAATTCATGACACCAATTGGAATATATTTTCTGGTATTCATTGCTCTTCTCCGGAGGAGAACATCTGAAAATTAAATTAAATATTCATCAGCATTCTTAGCAATGTCGCAGGGATGTGTTCTTTTTAAGTGTTACATTACATATAGGTATTATACATTACCTGTGTATATCAACTGTAATGTTATAAGAGCAGAGCAGGGATCCTCCTAGGAAGCAATCATATCTGCCTGCGTCCCCTTCATTCACTGATATTATTAGAAGGCCATGTTCAGATGTCTCTATGTATTTCTCTGGTTTGCTGAAAACGAAATGAAACATTGTAATTTTTGCCATCAAAGTTTGCAACGCTATTACAAATAGCGTGGTAAGCGTAAAATTTTACAGAGTTCGAATTTTTTCAATAGCTTTTTATTATATATTTTAAGATAACCTTGGATTTTACATAAAAGATTTACATTTTATGTGAAATCCAGGTTGGTACCCCTGGATTTCACATGGCCTGGCTTCAAATATTTCCAATAGTCTGAGAGCCGAAAGTGTGTATATTTTATTGTATACACTTTTTTTTGAAGAGAATGTCAATAAAGCAGTGAAAGATTGATAAATAGTTCTATTCTGTTATCTTCTTAGAGTCATCATAATCATGTTCATTTAATATTATGTATATACTAACTGTTACTTACATAGAAGCAAGTGTTCGTGAAGGAATCGATTATGAGATATACAATTATCTCCATAATAAACCTTATTTACGATGTAATGAATCAAATGAAGATTCGTGATTGTTATTAATTACCAAATAAAGTAGCCAAGTATAAACCGTGCATTCGAAAAGTATTGTTAATTATATGGAAGAATAAAAATGTACAAAGTCACATAAAACTAGAATAGAATTGTTTGAACGAAACACCATAAACAAAACCTTAATTCCCTGTTTCCCCTTGCATTCTAATTATACAGGCGGAAGTGCGATAAAAGCAGATTTGGAAACCCTTTCATTAATGTTGTTGCATGCGAGTTCAGTTCAAGTGTTTTCTGAATAATTTTAAGGTCATTTTAAACACCGCGGATGCTCCTTGGTGTACATCGATCGCACTCGTTTACACCCTACAGTTCACAGCGAAATTATTAATTAAAATTTCATTACAATTAAAGCGTGAAAGGTTTATTGGGTTCTCTACCAGTAACTCATTTAAACTTACCAGTAAAAACATTTTGAAATAGGATCATATTATATGATATAAACTTATATCTATTTAGATATCTTATCATTTCGGAATCAAATCTCAAGAAATATGCTGAGTATGCAGAACCATGTATGCATTAGGCGAGTAATTAAAGTAGATTATTGCAAGAGAGATGTGTCGCCGTAAGCAACCTAGGATGAACATAATAAAGCATGTTATTCACTATATAACTAAGACGAATAAACTTACTTAAACGTAATGACATGTTTTCCTTTGTCTCTTGAGTAATGATACCACATAACAGCTCTCGGATGTAACACCTCAGGCATCTTCACGAAACTGCCGAGATGGAGGCTTTGTCCCCATGTAGCAGAAACGCTTTTACGGGTAATCGACGAATCGCAAATATCGGCAGTTTCATTCACCACGTCTTGAATTAATCTAAAAGAAACAAATAGGCATTAATTAAAAAGAAAAATAAATTTATTTATTAATCTTGCGTTATCCATAACATGCGGTTAATAAATCAAATAGCGAGTCGGTAAATGTTGGTTGATTAATTGTATTTCACTGTTTCATGCATGTAATAGATTAGGATTTAGGCTTACATGACTTTTGATACTTTTTATGTTTATGTAAAAACCTTTAAGCTTGTTCTGAATTAATCAAGTGCATTTGGTACAAAAGAATACTGAATTTACAAACTTACGAATGTAAATATTTTATATGATTATGATCAGAGCAATGTCTTTCGACAGTATTTTAATGAATGAGTTAATAAAATGACTCACAGGCATAACAAAAGAACTACTATAATATTTCTATATGTATTTAATAGTAGAACTAGAACGAGTCTTATTTTTTTAAGAAAATAAATTGTCTCTAATTATAAAATAAATAAAAGATAAATTGAATTGATTAAACAATAGCCTACACCATTAAAGTATTAATAAAAAAAATGTATAATAATTACCCAGGGGCATATTCTCGGCAAACGCCGGCTTCTCGATCCCAGCCACAGTAAGGGTCTCGGGCACATCTTACGCACGCATCGTAGCGGCGTGCACATAGAGCCAGTCGTAGCTGTAGTACGCGTTTGTCTGATGCTGCGTAGAGGGAACCGTGTGTACGGGAGATAGCCATCGCCTAGAGAAAAACAATTTAGGAATACAGATATGAATGAAAATTATTAGAAGCTGAATTTAATATTTGCTTCAAATTACTTTTAGGATAGATATGTACATAGCATTCATTATATAAATTTGGTGTAATAAGATATAAATTATAAGTGGTGTTTCACGACCTCGGTGGTCGGTCTAGCACACCGCTTTACGTCCGATGGTCGCAGGTTTGATTCCTCGCACGGCACAAACATTTGTATTCGTGAGTATGATTGTTTGTATCGGTCTGGGTATTTTCTATGTATAACATGTATGTATATACGACAAAAATATCTATGTATTTATATCAGTTGTCTAGTACCCATAACACAAGCTTTAGCTAGCTTAACTTGGGTCTAGATGGCGCTGTCTGAATTGTCCTGAGATTCTAGTAAGTTCCTATACATTTTTGGAATTATTGGTTATTCAAATAAGAAATCTTAGTTATCACTATTTATATATGCCACCTATAACGCAGCATGGTCATTGGAATAATTTCGGACACTGAATTTCGTACGCAACTCGAAATCGTTTATACGTTTCTACAATTGTGACCAATGCGTATCAAGGGTCTACAGACACACAACGTTTCGTCAATGAAGTCTAAAAAAAGAATATCTATTCTTATTATAGTATATCAGGAGTAGAAAGACGATTCTGAACTATTTATAAGGTACTAATACTTATTTATCATGATCTTTTTAACAAATATAGGTAGTATACCTGAATTGGTTCACCAGGTGTCACGTCGAAAATATCAAGTAGAGTTGATTGACTGTCGCCGTTCCGAATCCATTGTACAATTTTGTGAATCTTCCCTTCATCTGTAACAATTCAAACAAATGTTAATATTTTATTATACTTTATACAATATCTATATGAACTATTTTTATTACATATTATTAACCTTATAATTCTTTACTATTCTAATAACACGGAATTCAGCAAACCAATATTGAATATTTTGCTTGTATAGCAATTTGATACAGGTGATACATCGTATTCTTACTATTTCACAATCATCAAATATTGTTTGATATGATATGTTCTATGCGTCACATCACCTTTATGCATCTCATTTTCTAAACTTTAGCCTCAGTAAATATTTTAGCAACATTAGTTTCTCTAGTCACTTTGACTACTCTGTGCCAGGTTGACATAGTGTTCGTGTCGAGCTCCGCGTCGGTGTAAAGACCAAAGCGAGAAATCACGAATTTAACTGAACGGCATTCGTTTCTAACTGCTTGTTTAACTATGTGATAAATTATAAGGGTACGTCATTTTGATGGAGCCAATTAATTTTGTCGGCGGCAAAGAAAGTCACGAATACCGAAATTGTTGTGGATTTTAATAGTTATTCTATACCTGTATATTATTGTAATATTATTAGACGTAAATTTACACTACAATAAAAAAATGTAAATTGATTACAGGATAACTCATAGTCTAAAAGACATTAAAAACTGAAATTAACTTTACAATTGCGTATATATTATATAATTTATTATGGAAATTATTTTTACGATCTGATCTGTTTCTTTATAACTAAAAAGTATTTTACATAAAAATAGCTCAATGCCCTTAAGAAATATGTTATCTGTAATTTTTAACATAAATGCTTCACTATTTAAGAATGAGTTTTGATACGAAGCATGAAGGTATTACAAACATTAAGATTCTTTATTTATAATTTCTTGACATAACATAGGGAATGTTACATTACATGATCAAGTGGACGTACTGGATTATAATATTAGAAGTACATTCTAAGGTACTACCTGACCTAATATCCGTTTCTTATCTGTTGCATTACAAGGATCTTTCCTTACTCCCTTATTTATAAAAACGTCTAACTTGTAATAAAACATAGTAGGTATAGCTATTGATATGATTTTTCTTACAAACAGTTTTCTTAATTTAACGGAAAAAGCTGTGTAATATTTTAAATGGGTCTGTGGTAAGATTTAGTTAAATTTTCCTTTTTTATACACTACGTTAGTGAACTCTCGCTCTTAAGATCTAAGTATTCTGTAAAAATTGCTATATTTTATTTATTTATTTATTTATTATTATCACAAAAATTTGCATCACATAATATTCTTACATTTGTAAAATTAAAAATACACTTATATTTAAAACTATATACATATGTGTAGTTGGTAATGAACAAGTTCATCTCAGTACTTCTCATGATTCAGAACGCAATAGTTTACTAAGTACCTACTTATTTACAATATTAACACAAATTAACGTTACATAAGCGTAACGCTTTTTATGTGGGCGTCTGCAGCGAATGTTTATATTGAGTTATCATAAGTATATATCATATCATATCTATACTTCACAAGGTTTCGTCGTTGTTTGAACACAAGACTATGGAGAATTCATCAGTTAGCACAAACACAAGTAAATAGTACAACTACAGACTCCACACAATATTTGCTAATATCTAAATACTGTTACAATACTTACAATAAATTATATTAAAAAAATAAAAACTTTTCTTATAAAAGATGGATGTAAAAATGGTAGGTACTTAGCGGACATTACAATAAAGTATTATTGTATCTATCCCAAGACTACAATAGATATAATCGTATACAAATACGTGAAACGAGATTAACTACTATATATTATGTTAGAATATTATGTAAGATAAATTATTGGTTTAAAATTATTAGTGCCACTAGCATCTAAACTAGGCCGTGCCTGTGTCTTAGATGCCAGTTCTCCCAATGACAATTATATAATATTTTCTTGAATTCATGAATCAACTTAGTAATTACTAGTGTACTATATATATAGTATTATGTATACTAGTTTATATTTACACACACATATATCATTATAACAAAGAATGTTAAATCTAAAATCAGTGTAAATATGTTGTAGTGTGTATATATTCTATGTTTCCAAATAATCAATAGTACACAATTGGCATTACGCACGTGACCAAGATTCGACTTGCGTACGTTTCGTTGTATTTGTTCCACATAAGGCAATAGTATCGCTAGTAGAGCGGCCTCCAGCCTCCTTACAAAGTCGAATCGGGAGCGAATTAATATTCGGGCCACGAATCTTAATAGCTAATTGGATTAGAGGCATGTACTGAAATTACCTAACCGGGTTACGTACAATAGTAACGCGACGTGTCGCCCAATGTTGTGTTCACCCCTAGGAATGGCGCAGGCCGTATTATTGTTCGTTACGTTATAGTTGCTGAGTTATAAATCAGTAATTATATTAAGCCGGTGCGCAATTAACGATAATATTGTTATTGTGTATGTGAATAACATGTGGCATTAACTATATGTATTCGTTCTTGAATATTGAGAATAGCGTAAGTACTTTCTTCTGTTCTCAAAACAGAGAGTAGCAATTAGTCTTGGTTAAGCAAGGATGCAATTACAATGAGGTCTCTATTCTTTTTTCATAAAACACCGTATGTGAAACATTGACGAAGTAGCTGTCAATAAGTAAAAGAACAAAAAAAATAAGATTAGTTAGTTTGGAGTTTTTTCATTACAAACAATAAATCAAAAATTTTTTCAATATAATATTCGTTTACAAAAATATTTGTTTTGTCACATTTCGATATTTTTATTCTACTTACATGTTTTTATATCGGTATAATTAGTTAGTGTTGCGTACATTGTTTAAGCTAAGCAGGCATAGCTTGATTTAACTATATATTTACATATATCGGCCTTATACGTACGTTTAATACATCTTAATAATATTGAGAGTGCCAGCGTGATATATCCGACGTAATAAGTATAATTTATAGGCGACAGTGCCGTCAGTCTGACATCGAAGCCCATTAGTATCCTGCGATGGCGGAATGGTTTTGATTGACGCGAACAAGTGCCAGTAATTATGTCGGCTGAATATCGTATGAAGGAACTAAGAGCTACCGAGTAATGGATATAGTGAGTTACAAACGAGAGTTAGCATTGATTGGATTTAATTAATGTAGCCAATCCTCTGATGGTAATTAAATTATTAGGCATGCAATTAAGGAATATACGCAGAAAATGTATGTAATCAGCAAAGTGACACTTTGGAATTTGGCAAGTCGACATGGATCCGATTGCTCCATTAAAAAACTTGGTTGCAACTACGACTACTTGTTTCAACTAAGGTACTATAATTCTTTTTTAAAATAGTAAACATACAATTGCAAAATTATTATAAGTTAATTTATTCAACAACTACGAAGTATCAATTGTAGACAACTTTTTAACTGTATTTTATATATCATCAATGATATTACTACCACTATACCTAGAACAATTTGCAATATACATACTACAATAAAGCTGTCTTAATTATAATTAGTGAAGATAGGCAGATAAACAAATATATTAATTATATTTATACAGTACTCCAATATCCACATGTAAATAACTATACAGATTATACGCACAAACCCTTTTGCTCTTAAGTAGGTTGATGTGATAATAGCTACACGGGAAAGCATTCAGCAAACTTGTCTGCAAGCAAATGCGGGAAAGCTGTACACGGCGCTGTCTCCAATCTGTTTACAGTACCGATGTTACACATTTTAAGCTTTCACACTTGACGTAAGGTGCTGGGTCACCAAATTATATTGAAATATGAGGGTGTCAATATTATATGTAGTAGACACCCTTTCATAAATCATTGCTAGCAAAGTACATTTGAAATAATTTTGGTTTGTTTGTGACTTCTTGGAGATTTAACTTCAATATAATTTGAAAATTTGTATACCGATATTATTTGGGATAGAGAAGGACTTAACCTTGTAAACTTCTAAATTATGGCGCTTTAAGGACACCGCTTTACAGCTTTAATTCCGATGGTCGAAGGTTCTATTCCTCGCATGGTGCCAACATTTGTATTCATAAGTATGATTGTTTGTATCGGTTTGGGTGTTTTCTATGTATATGATATATGTGTTTACAAAAAAAAATATTTTGCTCTGCTTGCCGTGGAACTGGTTGGACACTTAACACTGTGCCAGTGTTAAGTGTCCAGGGTTATTTATTATTATTATTATTAAGGACGAAGTGTTTTGTGAAAAGTAGTAGCGCATTATATATTTCTTTCCCCCTTACAGGAAGGTGCGCGTATAAACAGCGTGTTATAACGTTGTGAATTGTAATTATTAATATTCTAAAGATGTTCGCTAATGTTGGATTAAGAATTGTACCTACTTGTATAGACATTTTAATTTCCTAGAAGTTGTCTTACGAAGGCAGCGAGTAATTATATTCGGTTAAATATTCACTGTTAAATACATAATCATGAGACGTAGATGCCTTATATGGCTGGTATACATTACATTGTAATCACGAGTCCCTAATCTTCTGGATTAATATAGTATATACATTTCTGAATTAGATAAGTATGATCTATATGTACCCATATACATATATAATTACATTTTTATATTCAAGAATGAATTATAAAATCGATCAAATTAAGTTTATAAAGAAAATCTTAAACTTATTAAAATTACTTAAGTAATGTTATAATTTAATTTTATTATTGGCATGTAATAGCAAGAAAAAGGTTTGGAAGTTCTGCTATACAAGTATAGTTTACTATATATTGTTTTATAATCATATAAATCTCTTTCCTTTTTGTTTTAGCTGAAGATTGACAAGGTTATTTGTCTATATATTTAGATCCAATTTGTAATCTTTTGTAAGATAAAATTTACATGATCCCTTTAAGATATCTCCAACAAACAGCGCGGTGCGCGTCCGACCGAATTGTTATTTACTTTTATTCAATAATATCGAGCTACATTAAACTTTGAAAACAATTAAAATTTCAAAGT